CTATTCTATTCTATTCTATATTTTCTTACTGAAATTGGGCAAAAGAAGATTTAGAAAAATGTTTCCTGGTCTGAGGCGACTTCTGCTGTAACAATCAGATGGTTGAGTGACAATTTGATGTAACCAACATAAAAAGATGGATCCATCCAGCTGCACGTCAACAAACTGGTTCCTGGAGCATGAAAACGAGCTCACTGAACTCAAATGACCTCCACTGTCACCAGATTTTAATCCAGTCTTTGGTGAAACGAGAGATTGACATCATCAAATCTGCAGCAACTTTGTGATGTTATCACATAAATATGGAACAAACTGCACACTAGAACAATGTCTTCATACACTTTTAAGATCTGTTTACCAGTCTTTTGTAAATAAATACTTCAGATCAGTTGTTTTCTGTGCCAGGCTGCATCAGCTGATACCCATCTACACATCTCATACAGAGCTTCCTGTTGAAGCTCCTTTAGCCTTGCATCCTTACGTCTTCATTAACATTACATCTGCTGTCAGTGATGTTCGCTCTTTTCCGTGCATGTGCAGTGAAGGGTGGTGACATCTTTTGAATAAAATGATCCTAACTGAGCTTAAATTGTTAAAAAGTGACAAAAAAATCTTCATTGATAACTGGATTTACATCTATCACAGTGCTGCGCTGTGACGACTGATTGCATAATGTCTACGCGTCTGTAGAGAGCAGCTGTACAGAGAGGATCTGGGTGCCGGTGTTCGCCATTCTTGAGTTTTAACCTTTTTTGCGTCTCTCTGGACCAAATTTCAGTAAAAATATTCTACCACAGGAAAGCACAGATTTAATGACCAGTATTAGAAAGAGACTATTTATTTCTGCTGACTTTAATCACTGCTGGCAGGAACTTTAAAGACGCCACGCTGCTCGAAACGCCTTCAGCGAACAAAAGCGGGATCTGAATTTAAAGCACCTGCGTGTGAGAAAATAGATTCTTTCCGAGAAACGTTTCTGTCTGCAGCTCTGAACCTGAAATCCCCTCCCTCGCCCTCCCTCCTCGTCTCGCCGTCCCTTTATTTTGACAGCTACCTGCTTAGTGGCGTTGTGCGATAATTCCAACAAAAACAAGACCTCTTTTCTCGGCTCAACGTGCCAGCGGAGCTGTCATAAAGAGCGCTCTAAACTAAATGCATGATCTGCTTCGATCCGTGCTGACTCACTGCACATCGCATCACGCCGTCAGCTACAAGGAGCTGCTGCGGCGGTTACGGAGACTTAATGCACGTTTTTATAAACAAGCATCACAATATGCAAGACTGAAAGTCAGCAGAGGAGAGGACACATTAACAGGGTTAGAAAGAGAAGAAAAGTTCAGCCACCTTAAATTTATATTCAGCCTTCTGCCTACACCTGGATTTTTAAATATGAATGTTTTCATTTTGAAGACACGCCGCCAGAAAATCCTGTTATTTCTTTTAATCTTTGATATATTTCAGCATCTGTTGATCCCACATAGGAGTAAAAAATAAAAATAAACTAAATAGGATGTTTTAAATTTAGCACACACTTTAATTAGCTTACAGAAAAGTGATTAAGCATCACCAAACAAACTGAAACGATCTGATTCACATACAGTGCTGTTGACATGGCAACTTTAATAGATTTTAACACTTTATCTAGTTTTCTGTTAAAACAGGTCATCGTTACTCCCCCAGCAGAAAACAGCAGATTAATGCCATCAGTCACGGCTCGCAGTGCTGCGTGCACAGTGACAGAAAACACCGTGACGCTGCAGTCACATGACATCCTTCACCGTTGTTTGCACGACTTGCACAAGCGAAACAAATATAAGGAAGTCTCGCTCCTCAGAAACAAAATGCAAAATGTAAAGAAGACTTTTGCACGGTGCCCACGGTGCCCTCTCTCTTCCTCGCTCCTGTAAAGCCAGTTATTGTATTTAAATTGAATTATAATCATTAAATAAATTCAGTTGCTGCTAGCTCGCTGAGATGAATCACCAGATTTTCCTCGCCGTGTGTTTTTCTCCTCTAACAGAAACCTCGCAGTATAAGGCCGATGACATGAAAGCATCTGAAAGGATCTGAATGTATAAATGGTGGGAAATGCTGGTGTGTTTTTAAACCAAGGTCAGGAAACCACCAGATTAAACTGCTGTCTACAATTGAGTCTGCTGGCTTTTTACAGCTGTGTTTCCGCTGCTTATTTCAGCGTGACCCTGAAAAAGGTGTTGACTCTTTGTATTAGTCGCTACAAAAGCTTCAGCAGTAGGAAATACAAAGAAAGGAGGAATGAGCAGAAACAGAAGCAGAGCCCACAGGTGTGGCGGAGACAGAAGGCAACTGGAGGTTTTTAATTTACCTTTCTGCCCATGATGCAGGGAGAGGTGGGGGCGGCCTTTGCTGGGCTGCTGTACCCTTTATTACAATCTTTTACGGGCATTCTCTGAAATATCTTTGTAGTTTTATGAAAGACACGTTATCACACCGAGACAACATGAATAACAGAAATCTGCAACACAAATCAGACGAATAACTTCTCACTTAAAAATCCAGACTAATGTACCTCCAGCTCGGCAATAATCTTCTCTTCGTCGTCTTCATCGTG